TCGCCGCAAATTCCACGTGCCGACGGACGTCTCGAGGCTCCCGTGGGCTTGGTGCGATCGTGTTTCCTCCCATGCCAGGCATCGGCTGGGCGGCGCCCTCACTGGCTGCGCCTGAGCGTTGTCCCGTGCTGTCATGTTGTGTTGGTGTGCCGGACGAGATTACAATCGGCTCGTCCGAATGTGCAGATGCGTTTGTTGGTGCGTGGGGTGTTGTCGGTACGTTTATCGTAGACTGTTGACGGGCGGAGTCACGTTCCGCCGTGAGAGTCGCGATTTCGAGCGCCGAGTCCTCCAGTTTACGCACGAGACGATCGAGTTGCTCTTGCGTCAATGTGGCGAGCGTGAAATCGGCCATGGCGGGGGTGTCGGGCAAGCTCAGCGAGAGCCTCGGTCGTGGCCGTGCGTGCTTGCGAGAGAGCACTACGAGCGGCGGTGCTGTATCGCTGAGAGACGTCTACCCCCCCCAAAAAATTGAGATAGTGGGGAAGCGAAGGTGTGGATGCGGTCCGAGATGGGATCGTTTGGTTTTCGAAGTATTAAATTGAAGCCCACAATAAGGCGAACACAACTGTGAACGTTGCGCATGGGATCGTGCATAAAATTCCGGCGAAAACTCTGCCGCGACTCGATTTCCCACCGCACAGAACCTGTCCTGGAGCAACGCACCTGCCAGCGATGACGTGCATCCTGGCGTGCGGCCCAATAGGGTTTACATGCGCTGCCAGGGTGCCACATTTCACCCGAACTTTCGAGAAGGGGGTGGCATATTCCTGCCAGCGCAGCAGATACGTGCCGCGATTCCATCCTCTGCGGGTTTAGGCAGGGGGGGATCTGACTATGCCTGAAGAGGAACTCGAGCCGCACACCAGAAGGGGTCCCCTCCAAACCCTCATTTCTTCGCCTTCTCTTTCACTTTTGTCATTCAGATTCTTGTCTCTCGCCCGCCATGCTACGGAAGCCATGGCGGAATTCGCTGGCACTCATTTCTTGTTCAAAAAGAAGCCCGCGCGTAGGCCCGCCTTCGTAGTCGACGCCGACGGATGGTACTCCCGTGTCCCACCTGAACCACCAGAGCCACCACAGCCTCCATCGCCTCCTGCGCCGCCTGCTCCTCCTGCTCCTCCTTTGCCGCCTGCGCCTCCTGCTCCTCCTGTTCCTCCGTCTCCTCCGATTCTGGGATGTCCTCACAACAACAGGGATCCGCCCGTGCTCACGCTGCTCCCGACTGCGTTCGACGAGTGGCTGGAGGAACCGGAAAGCAGCAGGGCCCAAGATGTTGAGGTACCCGGCGCACCTTACCCTGGACCACGTTGGGGCCGGCCCGATGATTGCACCACGTGGGACGAATCTAATCTGCACTCGGAGCTGACGACGACGTGGCTGAGGACGAGGAAGCGAGCCGTGCTGACGGCGACGAGGAAGCGAGCCGTGATGACGGCTACGAGGCTGAGGAAGGTGGCGCGCAGGCGGCACCCCGCTGAGGATGTGTTTCCTGAGGGCGTACCTGGTGGCGACGACGACGACGGTGTCGAGTACTGGTCACGTGACGGGCTCCCCGAGGAACTGCCGATACCTTCCTTTCCACCAGCTAACCGCAAGCGACCCCACCCGTCTACCCAGAACCGTGATGCCCGCCCCCCCTCTCCCAGGCACAAGATCAGCGATCACAAGCGCAAAGGCTACACCGCTGCGGAGAAGTTGAAGTACGTCGCGATGCTGGATGTGGCGAAGTCGGTGCGCGCACTAGCTCGGGAGTGTGGGATTCACCGGAAGTGTCTCGCCAACTGGAAGGTGGCAGCGGGGTTTCTCAAAGAAGCACACTCCGGGCGGAAGCGCATGCACGGTCGCGGGCGGGCCTCGTGGTACCGCCCCATGGAGTTGAAGGTGTACGAGCGGCTCCTGGACTGGCGCCGCAAAGGAACCGCCGTATCGGTCGGCCGTCTGCGGGAGTGGTCGAGGGAGTTCATGAAGATTCTCTACCCGGACGTCAAGTGGAGCGGGAGTCAGAGATGGTCGGAGCGGTTTCGGAAGCGGTGGAATCTGAGCGTCCGCATGAAGACGCGGGTTGCTAAAAAAACAGCCGCTCGTAAGATTACGCCCCTTGCTTTTATGTCTAAGTTTCAAATTCACTTACTAAACTGTCGTCTATCCCGCCCGCTTTCCCCCGTCTCACAGATCTTGCGGAGCAGTGCCAGAAATTCTGGCGTTTTGTCCGACACATGCGTCGCGCGCGCGCGGCATCGAGCCATGCTGGATTCTCAACGCTGACCAGACGCCGCTCTGGCTGGAGATGCCCGCCACCATGACCGTGGATCAGACGGGCGTACGGTCGATGCCCATCCGTAGTGCAGGTTACCAGAAGGAGCGTGTGACCGTGATGCTGGCGTGCACGGCGGACGGGGCGAAGCTCAAGCCGTGGGTCTTTTTCAAGCGGAAGACGCTGCCGAAGGGCAACTTTCCTCCTGGTAATAAGTAGCAACTGCCGCTGTCTTACCGACACGTTTCTCATGCCGCGCTAACAGTTTAAGTGCCATTTCAATGTGCAGATGTGGTCGTGGCTTGCCACGAGAACGGGTGGATGAACGTAGAAGGCGTCATCCGCTGGCTTGACGAGTGTGTCAAGCCCTTCTTGCAGCCCCGATTTGGCAGGTGTGCGAAGAGCTCTATGCTCGTGCTGGATTCCTACCGCGGCCACCTTACCGAGGGGGTGAAGGAGAAGCTCCGCGAGATCAACTGCGTGCCTGCTGTCATCCCGTCGGGTTGTACGGGTGAGGTTCAGCCACTCGACGTCTCCATCAACAAGAGCTTCAAAGCATCTGTTCGTCAGTAGTACCAGAAGTGGTTTCAGGAGGAGGGCCAAGAGCAACTGACACCTGCAGGTACGTTGTTTCCGTTAAACACGCACGTTTATCCCCCTTTCACCCTTGGTCACTAACATCGCTTTCCCGGGTGTCTCTGTTGCGGTGCAGGGAATCTGAAGAAGCCCCCCCAGAAGTGGTCCTTCGATGGATTTCACAAGCCTAGAAAGCAGTACCCTCCGACCTCGTCAAGCGCGCCTTCCTCACCTGCGGCATTAGCAACGCACTTGACGGCAGTGAGGACCACCTCGCCATGGCGCACAGGCGGAGCCAACTGACGGCGGAAGTGGATGTAGACGACGGCATCATCGCCGACGGATTTTTCGGCAACAACTGCCAGGAGCCCGAGTCTGACGAGGAGTAGGTAGTTCCGGTAGAATAGCAGATTAAGTCTAAAATTGTGTACCTAGGTAGAATACCGTAGCAGATTAAGTCTAAAATTGTGTATAACTTATAGTATTCGTTGAAGCGAACGATGTTATAGTTGTTTTCTTTTGTTGTGGTGGTAAAAAAAGTGTTAATATTGAAGGTGGCGCTTATAATAAGGAAGGGTACAAAAGGGGTGGCGCTTATAATCGAGGATCGGCCATAAGCGCCATGCTCCAGATAGAAGCGCCGGCGCCTGTAATAGGCCGGCGCCTATATCCGGGGCCATACGGTACGAGTGCAATTGAGTGAACGAACGAGAATTGCACTATCGAAGCAAGAGTACAATGAGCGAAGGCATGAGCGAAGAATATATAGCGAAACTACAGTGGTAACGGTAATGGTCTGTGGTAGTCGCGCGACGAGCCTGGGACTGAGGTTTGGGAAAGTGTCGAAGTGTAGGCCCGGAGCGCGGGGGTACCGTATCTCCCGGACAAAACACCCCCCCATGATAGTACACCCCCGGGTAGCTTGTGCGGGTGGGTGCTATGGGCGACCTCGTTTCTACTATACCCCCCTTTTTGGATGATTTCTATAACACCCCCCCTTTTCTTACGGATTCCTATTATAGTTGTTATCGAGTCTGATTCCTTACAGGGGAATATCGCGAGAATTGCTTCCTAAATGAAATTTCGCGCGTACTTGCACTTAGAATCCGCCAACATTTCCCCTCCCACAATCTCACTGTCGCCACCCTGGCGAATCTTTCGCTGCTAGTGGACATTTCCCCCATCCCACATTCTAGGAAGTTTGCCACGCTGGCGAATCTTCCGCTGCAAGTGGCCCGAAAGGTGAAACTCACATTCTTGCCAAAACTCACATTCTCGTCTCAAACTGTGTTGTTAAAACGACCACTGAAACACCCCAAACTGTCTAATTTGAGAATCCTCTTGCATTAAAATATACCATATATAACCACCCGGGTATTATATAGGATTTTCCGTTGAGAGGACCCCCCCCCTTTTTTCCCTGTGGTTATCATAATACCCCCGGGTGTTATGTCCGGGAGAATACGGTACCAGCGAGCCGTGAGGTCGGGATGCGATGTGCGAAAATGGCGGGATGATTATCGGTGCGATGGTCGCGAGTGGTAACGGTGCTGACTGAGGTGCTACAGTGATGTACGCGTTGAGCAGGGATGCGAAGTAAGGAAAAGGGAATTTCCTTACATGAGCACATAAATTCAAACTGGTGAGTTACTGTTTTTCCTACGGTGGTGGTGGTGGTTATCCACTTCAAATCATCACGAGGGGACACCAAACGCATGGATCACTACACCACACGTTGATTACGCATTGAAACGTTCCACTTTCGACCTCATCATAAGCACAATCCAGTTTAGAGGCCGATGAGGTTCGGCTCCCCAAATTATGGGAGCAGTCACGCTGCTCTCGAGAATTGCTTTCCAGACACTTGGATTCAACTCCCCAACCAATCAGAGGCGGTGCTCAAAACTTCTCGGCGCCAGCCATTGAGGGTGTCGCGCGCATCAGCACTGTTCATGGCTTCCATGCGTTTCTTCATTCTCCCATGATCCCATGATTCCATCCCATCCCATCATCCAACCACGCGTCCTTCAAATTACTTGCTCACCACTTTCAAGGTCTCTTTTTCAAGTCCATTGCCATCACTCACGGACTAAACAAATCCTCCTTTTTTACCACGGCACGACTTGCTGTTTTTCTTTGGAGTCAGGCTTCTGATAGGCTGTAGGCCATGGATCCAGCTGTGGCGATCGTGTTGGGCCAGGATCCCGCGCCATTTGAGCAGCTGCTGCAGCGACTCCTTTCCCCGTCAAACGACGACAGAGGCGAGGCCGAGCGCATATTTAATCTCTGCAAGCAGCAGCCTGACGCTCTCGTTCTCCGCCTCGTCGCGGCGCTGCAGTCCTCCGCCGCAGGAGCGGACGTGCGGACGATTGGCGCGGTGCCTCCTTAGACGAGTGATCACGAAGGACAGCGTGTCGCTATGGCCGCAGCTGAGTCCCGCGACGCAGGCGACCGTCAAGACTGAATTACTCGCTAGCGTGCAGAGGGAGCCTACTAAGGCGATTTGGAAGAAGCTGTGCGACACGATCGCGGAGCTCGCGGCGGGGATCGTGGAGTCGGGGACATGGCCGGAGCTGCTTCCGTTCATGTTCCAATGCGTGTCGTCGTCCGACGACCGGCTCAAGGAAGCATCGCTGCTGATCTTCGCGCAGCTAGTGCATTTCTTCCAGTCGCAGCTGAAGCCTCACTTGCCCACTCTACACAATGTGCTTCTGCAGTGCCTCTCGCAGTCAGCCAATCCCGACGTGCGGATCGCCGCGCTCCGTGCGGCTGCGAATTTCGTTGAGGCGCTCGAAACTCCTGAGGAGCTGACGCAATTCCAGGATTGCTGCCCGGAATGATGCAGACGCTGAATCTGTGCCTGCAGAGCAAAGACGAGGCGCGCGCAAGAGGCGCTCGAAATGCTCATCGAGGTTGCCGGCATCGAGCCGCGCTACATGCGCAAGCAGC